TACCAAGCGCCCCAGGAAGAGCTGGAAGCCTCTCTGGCCCACCTTAGACCTCTCGGTTCATGCAGCGATGGAACTTGGCGCCAGGAGAGCCAGGAGACGAGCGAAGAAGAGGAGCCAGACTTGAAACCGCCTTCTTTGTCAATGCCCCTGGGCCTGTGGCACCGCGGGGAGCTTGCAAGTTAGCCTGGCAGGATGCCTCTTGGCTGGATTTCCGCTCGTTTGCGCGGCACACGCTTTGTGAGGCTCGATGCAAAACCGCCACAGGAGCCCGATCACAGGAAAGTCTGTTTGCGAGGCTGCCAAGCAAGCGCTGCAAACTCGGTGTATGGTTGCAGCGAAACGAGCCTTTGAGGCTTCTGTTCCTTTCTGTCACCTGTCGCAGCCTGTCGCATGTCCCAAGCTTGAAGCGTCTGCTTGAGCTTCTGGCAGACAGGTTCTGGCTTGCCAAGCCTACGGCCTTTCCGTTCCAATGGCGTCCTTTGAGCTCTCAGCTTACTCGTAGGCCCTTCGCAGATTGTGTCAGGTGACGACGGAAACCAAGACGGAGTGTACGCTCACGATGCCCGAGGTTTCTGTGCTGGCTGCAGAGTACGGAAGCCGGGAGCTTAGCCGCTGTTTGATGCCCGCTCTCTGGAGCGCGAAAGCAACCGCGGTTCAGCATGTGCACATCAAGCAGCTCGGCGCATTTCCATTGTTCGATCATGTTCGATCAAAGGTGTGCATGCGAGAGGAGATGGTCTTCAAGGCTCTCTCCACCTTGCCACACCCCATGTTACATGCTTGCAGCCGACAGGAGAAGCTTCCAGAGGATCACGACGAGCGTGTGCAGCTCTACTTGTCATGGCCCTAAGAGCTGTCGTTAAGAGCTGTCAAAGAGGCCCTCTTAGGCCGAGCTCTGCTCCGAGCTCCGAGGCTGAGAAACCTGGAGAGCCGATGGCCCTTCCCGGAGGAGCTGGGAACCTACAAGGTCCGTGGCCCAACACGCGCTGGGACATGGGGACATGGGGACACATGGGGGACCTTGCGCTGTGGGCTCGCGTCGAGGCTATTCGGCAGCGACTGGAGGCAGAGTCGCCCTTCTTCCAGAGACTGCAGTTGGAGCCATTGCTGCATCTACGCTTCAGAAAAACGATGAAAAACGCAAATGAGAAGAGGGTACATGGCTGCAGTTTGCTCCGATCCGAGGAGAAGTTGCCCTCGATCGAAGAGATTTTGCTCTCTCACTTACCGGCTTTGACTCTGGTCGTCCTTCGCTCTGGCACATGGAACATGGCTGGTGATCTCCGTGATGAGAACGTTGAAGATATTGAGTGTATGTGCCTGGATGGTGAGGTCACCCTGCAGTTCCGCTCCAACTACATCTATGCAGGGGCTCCGCGGCCTGAGCTTAAGGTTAGCTTTGAGCAGGTCTTTTGCATTTCGGCATGACATAGAAACCCCTACTAAGCGGATGTAGACTGTTGTTCGAATCTAAGACTGACGGCTTCATGAATCAGCAGCGTTTACAGGAGCCTCTGTTTTCACATGTCTGGTGTAAACTTTGAGCTGCACATTCAGACTGGAGACCCTCAATAGATGAAGCTTTTGAGAATCTGCGGCTGAACGCCTTAGGTTGGCACCCTTCTAGCTTCTAGGTCTTAGCTTGAGAAGCTGAGATATTCTTGCGACCGGAGCCCACTGAGGCGGTTCTGAGCCCAGACGCAGGGGACCGAACGGAGCGTGCCAAGCAGCTGCAGCCGATGGTCGCAAGGCACATGGTGCACCCAGCGGAGGCCGGAGCAGGGCCCAGGAGCTGAAGGCTTTTTAGCCTTTAGAACTTCGGATTGGAGGATCGGCTCATGGAAGCTGTTCTGGGCTGTTGTTCATGATTGGTTGTGTTTAGGAGCATGGAGGGGTTGTGGCAAGCGATGTTGGCTTTATTGTATTTTTTGGCAAGGCCTACTTGGTCGTGAGTCCTTTACTAGGTGACTGGGATCAACTTGAGGTTGCAGTTCTCGCATGGCATCAGGGACTTATTTGGACCCGCTGTTGATTGACCGACCGTTCACTTTCAGAAGGTACAGTTTTGTATCTTCCTGAGCTCCTGTCGGATGTGCCAGCCATGTCTGCTGTAACCAGGTGCAGACCTCAATCAATCGGATCTCGTCCACAAACAGTGCAGAACTCAAGGGGATCCGAAGGTTTCTTGTTGCATGACTCTTCTCGTCTCAGAGCGGTGCTTGAAAGGTCAGATTGAGAAGCAGCTCTTGTCATCACCGGAAGTAGACCCCCAGCCTGCCGCTGAGCATTTCCTGGCCCAGGGTCAGCTTTTGGGGCTCTGCTGGGTCTAGCCGCAGGTTGCGAGAAAACATCCGGACCATCGTGGAGGAGCTCGACGAGCATTTGATGGAACCACTCTCTCGTCGTCTGGAGGCCTTGTCGCTTGCAAGCGACAGACAGAACTATACGGTTTTAGAGACCCCCACAACTTAATAAGGGAAAGTGTAAGTTGCCAGGGGCACTTCTGGCAATGTGGCCTTCATGCGAGCGACTCAGGATCCGCAGTAGACGTGGTCCTTGTGGTGGGGGAGCATTAGCAGTTTTGGCACTGCGCCAGTATGCCTGCCCTCCTAACAACCTCGTTGGGGAGTCACAAGTTGCACAAGTCGTAACAGTGTGGATGCAGTAGTTCTTCGAAAGGGTCCCCCACACCCCCGAACCCTTCCAAAATCCGAAGCTGGAGTTGCAAAGTCGACAAGTGGATCTTGAGACAGAGCAAGAAGTGGCAGTGCAGCACGAAAGTATCGCAGATACCGAGTAACATGGATGTGCCCTTAAGATGGCGTAGAGCAAGTGCAGTTGGTAGGGCGCGCGGGGCGAGCCTACTCCTACTCCTACTACTACTACTACTACCACTACTACTGTTACTACTCCTGCTTCTACTCCTGCTACTCGTACTACTACTACTACTACTACTACTACTACTACTACTACTACTGCTACTACTACTACTACTACTACTACTACTACGGCTACTACTGCTACTGCTACTGCTACTGCTACTGCTACTGCTACTGCTACTGCTACTGCTACTGCTACTGCTACTGCTACTGCTACTGCTACTGCTACTGCTACTGCTACTGCTACTGCTACTACCTACTACTACCTACTCCTACGCCACTGCTACTGCTACTGCTACTAGTTCTGCTACAACTGCTACTACTGCTGCTGCTGCTACTACTACTACTACTACTACGACTACTACTACACCGCGACGGCTACAACTACGACTGCTGCTACTGCTACGGGTGCAGCCGGCACTATTGCTGCTGCTGCTGCTGCTGCTGCTTCGGCTACTGCTACTCCTACTACTGCTATTACGCCATTGCTGCTGGTGCCACTACTGCTACTGTCACTGTGCTGCTCCTGCTGCTGCAGCTGCTTCTGCTACTACTACGGCGACGACGACGGCTGCTGTCTCTGGAACGTCATACGGTCATGGCCGTTATGTTCTCCTCACTAGCCTAGCTTGGAATTGCGACGTCGTTCCTATTATGGCAATTGATTGGCCCGAGTGGTGCTCAATAGGAGGTTAGATTGGTTGGCGGGCAACAAGATGCAACCTCACAGCAGGAATCACTGTGGGCATTAATAGGGCTCCTCACTTACTGCAACTTTGATAAGTGCTGCTGTTGCCTGTGATTCGTAGTAGCACTTCGACGGCTGTTTCTGCTACTTCTTTTCCCACCCGCTTCTACCATGATTATGTGATGAATCCAGCTTATCGCCAGTGCTGCTCGTCACACGTGTTCCTTTGTGCTGATGTTTGCTGCCGGTGTTGCCATTGCTGTAATTACTATTGTTGTTTCTTCCACCGATACCATTGTCGTGATTAGTGTTGGTACCATGGTTTCCAGGACCGTGGTTGTATTGCTACCATGGTTGGTCTTGCATCACTGGTGCTAGTTTGCTTGTCGGGCTATTGTTGATCTATTGCTACTACTAGTAGTTCTATCTGCAAAAATCTAGCCGACGGAGTCAGTGCCAGGGCGTGTGTGACGATGAGTATTCTGCGTTTGTTGCAAACAGACGCTGGAGTTAGCAGTAGTAGTAGTCGTCGTCGTAGTATTGCCATCTGTTCGGTTCTGTTCATCTTCTGTGCCCGTGCCATAAGAAGGGCTTTCTGCTCTTCCGGCGGGCTCAGCAGATTCCACCTGAAGGCCAAACTCCGATCCGAGGCCGAGCTGCCTGGTGCGCCGAACCCACGACAGCTCCTGCTCCTGCCTGATGCCTCCTTGGCGAACTTGCCGCCGGGGGCCCAAAAGGGTCTCGAAAATTTAGGCAACATTGGGAGATCCGCCAATGGCTAAGCCGAGGCTGGAGACCATGCCATCGTTGCTACGCCTTTTCGGTGATCGTGGCGCAGAATGCATTCTCAGGCAGGTGGTACTGATACTGATAGAGAGGGGTATGAGCACATAGGTGGTCCTCATGTGCAACACGCAGCGCAAAACTCCGTACAAGCTGGGCCAATTTGGAGTTTGCGGGAGACCTGTCGAAGCGGAACGTCTTGCATGTGCCCACGCGTGCTGTCAGGGATCATTCACTGCACATGATGGCCAAGAGAGTGCGGGATTCTGCAGACGTGGCTGCAGACAGTGCGCCACTGAAGGCCTGGGCCAACATGTGCAAACGCTCCTTGCTACATCCTGGCACACAAGACACACGGGTTTCGCAACGCCCAGAGCTCTGATCGCGGTGCAGGTCGCTATGCAAACACTTCCAAGAACCTCCTTGCTCGACAAGGCCTGGTACCCACTTGCGCAGAATGTAGCTGTCCTTGAGCGTTCTGGCACAGGCCTGAGCTCCACCTTGCTCTTCATTCTCGCACGAGAAGGAGCGCTGACGACATGGCAGCAGCAGATTCTAGAGTGCACAGTTGTTGCGTGAATTGCTGGAGCAAGAAGCTTGGCTCAAGCTCCAGGGTGGCTTTTCGCACCAATTAAACTCGCGGGAATGCCATGTGCTTCTTCCGGCTCTTGCTTATCGCTGGGGCCACGAAGGTAGCGGCGATGGTCGCACCCATGTGCCTTAGAGCGCAAGCCTACGGTGATCGTGGGAAGCCCTCTAGCCGCGACCCCGGTCACACACGGTTGAGTGCGCTCTAAAGCTGTTTTCAGATCAAGAGTTCATTCCTTGGCCGAGGCACGAATGTCAAGGACGTTGAGACCTGCCAGTCGTCAAGGACTTAGTGGCAGTGGGCTCCAAGCAGAAAGCATCGAACACGACCATGTACTTAGATCCTGTGCGACCTCGAACAACTGCAGACATTTCACCTACGATGCCAGCACACAAGGCAAGTCATGACATGTCTTGACAGTTTCCGGCACGGCTTTCAGTCATGCTTTTCGCTTTTTTCCCAGCATCTGTGCCTTAACTTAAACATTGTGTCAGACTTTGTCAGGGCACATCAGCAGTTGATTCAGCATGCTCGGTTCACAACACATGTTGCGAGAAAGCAGCCCGTTTCGCTGTTCGTGCTGTGTCGTCATCGTGTTGTTGGTGGTGGTGATGGCGGCGGCGGTTGTGGTTGTGGCTGGGACTGGGACTGGGGCTGGAGTGGTGTTGGTTGTGGTGTTGGTTGTACTGGTCGTCGTGGTGGTTGTGGTGGTTGTTGTGGTTGTGGCAGTTGTGGCGGTTGTCGTCGTCTTCGTCGCTGTCGTCGTTGCTATTGTCGTCGTTGTCGTCGCCGTTGTCGTCGTTGTTGTCGTCGTAGTCGTGGTGGTCGTGGTCGTTGTCGTCGTGGTCGCGGTCGTTGTGCTTCTGGTCGTGGTCGTGGTCCTTGTGTTTGTTGCGGTTGTCGCTGCTGTGGCTGTGGCTGTTGCTGTTGTTGTGGTTGTCGATGTGGTTGTCGCATGGTTGCTGCTGCTGCTGCTGGTGTTGCAGTTGTTGTTGTTGTTGTTGTTGCAGTCGTCGTCGTAGTAGTAGTAGTAGTCGTCGTAGTCGTAGTCGTAGTCGTAGTCGTAGTCGTAGTCGTAGTCGTAGTCGTGGAGGTGGTGGTGGAGGTGGTGGTGGTGGTGGTGGTGGTGGTAGTGGTAGTGGTAGTGGTAGTGGTAGTGGTAGTGGTAGTAGTAGTAGCAGCAGCAGCAGTCGTAGTAGGAGTAGTAGTAGTAGTAGTAGTAGTAGTAGTAGTAGTAGTAGTAGTAGTAGTAGTAGTTGTTCTTGTTGTCGTTGTTGTTGTCGTTGTTGTTGTCGTTGTCGTTGTCGTTGTTGTTGTTGTTGTTGTTGTTGTTGTTGTTGTTGTCGTTGCTGTCGCTGTTGCTGTTGCTGTCGCTGCTGTGGTTGTCGTCCTCCTTGTTGGTTGCAAATTGTTGGCTGTTGTTGTTGTTGTTGTTGTTGTTGTTGTTGTTGTTGTTGTTGTTGTTGTTGTTGTTGTTGTTGTTGTTGTTGTTGTTGTTGTTGTTGTTGTTGTTGTTGTTGTTGTTGTTGTGTTGTTGTTGTTGTCGCTGTTGCTGTTGCTGTCGCTGCTGTGGTTGTCGTCCTCCTTGTTGGTTGCAAATTGTTGGCTGTTGTTGTTGTTGTTGTTGTTGTTGTTGTTGTTGTTGTTACTGCTGCACCCTGACGGCTAATTCATTACATGTCCTACTTGCAGAGAGTGATGTGATTTCCAGCAAGGGTTCTGCTTGCAGAGAGTGATGTCATTTCCAGCACGGGGGGCAAGGGCTCCAGTTGCAAGCCTTGCCCGACGAAGCCAAGTGACTGGAGTCCATGCACGGGCTGACCACCACCGTGTACCTGCCGCGTGTGACCTATTTGCAAAACACTCGCTGTGCAAACTTTTACATTGCTGAGATTGGACATGGCGAGGGGCTAGACCATAAACCCTGACTGGCTATGGTGAGGGCTGAGGGGCTAAACCATAAATCCCCATTTTGAACCTCATTTGCAAACTCAGGCCAACAATGCACGGTCTACTCAGGAACTGGCGATCCTATGGCAGATAGATGTCCTAACGACTCATACGACAAGCATTCCCATCCTGCCTGCTGTTGTTGTTGTGGTTGCTGTGTTTGTCGTCTTTGTTGTGTTTGTTGTTGTTGGCCCTTGCCTGGAGTATCTAGCGTACATGTCGCAGCACACAGAGCTACTGAATTGCAGATTGCTGGCTTTTGGACATTGGGAACTTCCTGCAGGCGCAGGCCCGCAAGTGTGCGCAGCAAACCCGGTAGCTCTGACGTCCTGGGTGCCTTGCCTAGGAGACTGCCGTTTCCGGAGCCGTGGATTGTCAGCTTCAGCAGGACAGCCGTCCTCCGAGGTCCACGCACGGGTTTCTCGAGTGTCGAGTTGCTGGCAGGAGAACGAGAACAGCAGGAGCCAACATGTCCTCGCGGGCCTGAAGGCAGCAGCCCAGTTCGTCCGCGATCGGACGCAGGACGAAAGAATACGAAAGGCTGCTGAGCATGTCAAATGGTCCGTGAACAACGGCTTCCTCGAAGAGGAAGTTTATCAGAACGTGAGGCTCGTCCTGCAAGAGGAGGCAAAACTGGTCTCCTCACCGGATTCGCTTGTTGAAGCTGTCGGACAAGGGGCGGCCCTTACGGCGGATGACGTCGACTGGCTCACGAAGCGAATGAAAGGTGGTGAGGTCTTTTCCGATTTCGAAGATGCAGAGCAAGGTGCAACATACGGTCCAAATGGTGAACCTTACTATGCTGCATCCTCCAGCCCTTGTGCATCAGACAAGGTTGGCTGTGACACAGGAGACTTCAGTTCTTCAAACAGTCAAGTTCCACTTTGCTTTGGCAGAAAGAAATGCCCTGCTCCCCATTTCTGCCCGTCGTTCAGCCTCGGCCTTGAAAAGGATCCGACAGCAGCTTTGGGACGGGTACACCTTGGACTGATGCCAAGGCTTGGGGCTGAGGGCTTCGAAATGAGTTGCGCACGAAGGCACAGGAAAAGAAGAGATGCTGAGCCTTTGGTGTTGTGAGCTGCAGGTGAAGTTCTGCTTTGACAACGAGCTTGCGCCAAGCAGCAGAGAAGCCCTGCAATGCGCCATGGCAACCTGTCTTCACTTCGGCCTTCTCCACACGGGTGCATGTTCTGTACAGGTTAAGGCTTGCGTGGCTTACATGTTGGGATCATCCGCCAACATGAAACTCATTGGTCTCTTGGTCTCCAGGCAAAGATCTCGAAGTTCGTGCCTGGCATCGTGTTCGTGAACGTGCAGTACACAGGGGTTGATGCATGCGGTGCGTTGCCGGCGGTTTACATGCAGTCAAACGGCCGCCGGAGTGGCAACGGCTGTTGGGCAGACATTGGCATGTCGACTTCCATGTTTGGTGGGAATCAAAAGTTGAACCTGCAAGCTCCCGGCTGTGACAATTGTGGCACAGCAACCCATGAGATCCTGCATGCCCTCGGCATGGCACACGAGCAGCAAAGACCTGATCGGGACGACTTCGTCAGCGTTGTTTGGAACAATGTCAAACCCGGCATGGATACTCAGTTTGCCATTCGCTCGCAAGCGGATGCCCAGCGGCCGTATGACATCATGTCCATCATGCACTACGCTGCCAAATCCTTCTCGAGGAACGGTCGGGACACCCTCACCGTGAAGCCCAAAGGCTACGAGCTGTACACAACGGATCCGGCCAAGTTTTCAAATTATCGCATTGGGCAGCGTGTGGGAATGAGCACACAGGATGTGTCTCAGCTCGCGGACCTGTACGGGTGCAGCCTGAGCAGCCAGTATCGGACCTGCGACATTGCCAGGGGTTATCTCGTGACTTTGCCTGCAGATGCAGTCTGAAGGAGTCGCACGGTCATTGCGGTTGCTGCGACTGATGCACAGCTCAGGCAGCCGGGTCGGACCAGGAAATTGATCCAGGCCGCACAGCTGCATGTTTGTGGGGTGTGACTGGCGCAGAGACGGGGTGGAGCACAGGAAGGACGTGCGCATACAAGCCCGCCTTCTCGGTCTAGATCGTGTCTCCACGACATAAAACCCGTGCAATCGCCACTAGAATCTTTTCGTGTGTTGAGTTTGCCCATTGTTTCCATTCCCTGTCGTGTAAGTTTCCAAAAGGCGAGCTGGGAGCCTGCGCCGTCACATGTCATAGTGCAGCTTTTCGACAGGCGCAAGCAGCCATGCTGCCAAGTCAGCGTGAGCACCGTATTGCCGAAGAGTTTCTTTTCAAGGCAAGCTCTGGACAAGCTGAGGCTCGATCGCTCTGATCGGTGTGCTGCTCATTGCCGCCATCTGCTGTTGCGGCTTATGCGTTTGCTTCGCTCGTGGGAGCGAAAGCTCGAGCAGGACGTACAAGGAGGGAGACAGTAGCCGAGGTATCATTGCAATGCAGGACGGTGCGCCACCAAGCGCCACGGATCCGGAAGAGCCAATGCTTCAAAAGGACCATCTGCAGCCAGGGCAAGAAGAAAAGCCTTGTGTACCATGCTGCACCCTATTATGACGAGTTTCTGCTGGCTTCAATTGCCCAAAGTGGCACAAAGCATCGTTGAAGCTACTTGGCCGAATGACTAGGGTGCCCATTGTCCGACCCGATCCGAGGGTGTCGGATTCTGGTCAGATGCATCGGTCCTTGTCTTATGAAGTTGAATTGTTGCTTTTCAGCAACTGGAATCATGGTATGTGTGGAGCATCTTGCGAAAGGTAGATCGAATATTCAGCCTGCCTTATCCAGATGTCAATCATAACATCCAGCGACTTCCAACGATCAAGCAAGTGGCATTTCCACCTGGGCATGCGATACTGAAGTCTTCGTAGCTCGCTTGCAAACCTGTTCCCCTGCTGGATGTGCCGGAAAATGACACACAGGGTGCTAGTGATTCTGGTTCTCGAAGTTGACTTGGGCAGATATGGCAGCAATCGGGATTACATGAGTCCATGCCTGGCCTGCCGTCAAACCATTTTCGTGAAGCAACAAACCGACATGCGTGAGTCAGGGCATGTCACATGTCTGCATGTAGCCCACTGAGGTTGGCTTCTGAAGGCTGTTGTTGTCTACGCAAATTGACACGGTGATCGTACAAACGATCCATGCTGTGCGAGCTAGCGTGCTTTTCCGCGCGGCTGAAAGACAGACGGGCTCAGAAGAACGGAGCAGGCTGTATTGGTTTCAGAATGGAACTCCCTGCCAGATGTATGATCGAATCGATGCCACTCAAATGTTCCGTGCCCTGTTGGTCGTTGCAAGACATTTTCAATGTTCAAACACACTGCTCGGGCAATTGGCAATGGAAATACCGGCATTGCACGAGCTATGACAAGTCTCCGTTTCACTTCAACTCGAGGAGCAAGCATGAAAATGCGCTGCGGCTCTGAGTAAACTCCTTTTCTTTGGCGCTTTGGACGTGCTGTTGTCGGAGCTTCGCCAAGGACCTGGACGCTGTCAGCATGCTTATGGCTTCCAGAAGATGAGGTGGCTGCGAAGACCTTTCAGACTCAAACGCTGGGGGTGCTGGTGCAAACTCGGACACCATGCAGAACTCTTCACAGCGAGCGCTACAGAATTGTTCAACCCTGCCCCTTAACCATCCCTGTCCAAAGCACATTCACGAAGTAGGCCATGCTCCATAGTGCAAACGTGGCGATAAAAGTCATCATGCATGTCAGCTTGCGTGCTCAGAACCAGGGCAGCATGCCGTTCTCACCCAGGTTTCACTTCTTTCGTTGGCGATCGAAGATTCTGCTGACGAAAACGGTACGCATGCTCCTATGTGTCCAAACAAGGTTTGATCGGATTAATGGAAGAGTGGTCGAAGCGGCGGTAGCAATGAGCGGTTTGTGGTTGAGCAGAGAGGCTGTAGACTGACCAACGGGCGATTTAGCATGAGGGATGCGTATTAGAGCTTGTTATGAAGCGCTTTGAGAGGCGGCATTCCTGATTCGTGCGTCCCCGCGTTTGAGGCTTTAGCTTGTTCAACAATCAAATTAACAGTTTAGACTTCGTCAGCTGCCAGATGTTTTTGATGGCTGTGTTGGATCACTTCGGCCGACTGTTTCAAGTTTCAAGGGTTGCAGCTCTGTGCAAAGTTCTCCTGGGATTCGCTACAAGAATCAACTGTCAGTCTGGGGAGCCGGCAGCCGTGCTACATGTCTGTTTGCACGGAGAGAGCTTGGCCAATCTCCTGCTGCCGCCTCAGTTTACTTGCTGCATCACGTGCAGTGTTCCTCCATGTTCGATGCAAGGCACTGGGGATCTCGATGGCAGATCCGCCCTTGACTCCAGCCGGTAGCAAAGCTTGCTTCCTGGCTGCACTTGGAGCGTTGAGTGCTGCCTTGACCCGAGGCTTTCCATGCGGACCGTCGAAGCTCGTCCCTTGCCATGAACCGCAGACAGCTACAGAGCTATCTAAAGCTGTCCTCCCATGCTGGCCTGGTGCCAGTACATGCCACCAGTAGTTGTATAAGCTGTGTCATAAGGCTATATTCGTCAGGGGTAAAGAGAAGAAAGCCTGCTATTTCCACCGTTTGCCACGTTTGCGGTTCGAAGTGCCGTTGCTTGGTGGCAGACGGTGTCTGAGTCTGACTGTAACATACTGTAACACGACTGATCAGACAAGGATGCAGCACAATCACAGGCTCCAAAATGGCTCCGAGCCTCAGACTGCTGGTTGATCCGTAAGATGCGTGGCGTCCTACCCGCGTGTCGGCACTGCAGGGCGTGGAGCAGCCTGAGCCCCTCGCCACCGGATGCAGGTGGGAAGTCAGCTTCCAAAGTGCCAGCTCGCAGCCTTCGCATGCTCCAAGAGAGCCGATAGAAGTGCGAGGTCGGTTTTGGATAGTCGAGGGACCCCCGCTTCGGCACCTCCTGCTGTCTCTGGTGTGTTTTCTTGCTCCAGGTTTTTCCGAGGGCTCGGTGGCTTGGGAAGAAATTCTGGACGCACAGCAGCGAGTGCCGACACAGGACGGGCAAGAGGTGCTCACAGAGTAAACAGATGCTGATGAGCATGCTCTATTTTCAGGGAAGCCTCGAAGTGCAGCGACTCCATTTTGCATTTCCGTTGTTCTGTCTCAATAAGTGGTGTAAGCCACCAGATGGTACAAACGGTGGCCAGTCTTCGCAGGAGTCGATTCGAGTTGCTGCACGCTTTCGGCCATTGAGTCTGTTGGAGAGGCCGGCGCACTGAGCCCATCAGCATCAAGTAACTCAAGCCCGAAGCCACAGAAGATGAATGCATCCTGAGATGCAGGGAGAATGGCGAGGATGAGACGCTTTGTGTGAAGTTTGGTCGAGATGGCCAGTCGTGCACACTGCGAATGCAGAAGCCACTGGTCCGCTTCAATGCTGCGGGTTCAATCCGATGGTTGCAACCGATATCACAATGCGAGCAGGAAGCAGGATAGCCATGGAACACGCCATGCTCTTTTTACCAATTGTAATAGAAAAAAGAAAGAAAAAAGATAGCCGAGAGGGTAATGCTAGCAGCAGCAATTGCAGCAGGCGCAGCATAACTAAGGGCTCGCAGCTTTGTAAGGAATATGTCACAGGACGTTTGCCGCCCTATGCCAAAGACACCAGTAGCAAGCACGTCGCCATTCCAAATTCGATTCTACATCGCTTGTGTCGTCTACTTCTTCACATCCAGTATTCATAGATGTGCCTCCAAGGACACATGGAATTTGCGACTTTCCGTTTGCGTACGACCACCTGTTCCAGCCAGAAGCATCACAGTACGACGTCTACAGGGCCGTTGCGCAACCGATCGTCGAGGGCGTCATACATGGTGCCAGCCTTGCAACCCAGTCTTCATGAATGCAGTGGCAGAGCAATCTGTAGCAAGCTGGAGGTTACAATGGAGCAATCCTAGCCTACGGGCAGACGGGCAGCGGCAAGACACACACCATGCTTCTTGATGCAGTGACGGGAATGTTCATAGCTTGTTGTCACAGTCCATGCAGCCATGCACGAGGTTTGGGCCCTTTGCCACTCAAGCCTTCGTGGATTCCTGCGTCTGCGCCCAGGGCGAGATATACCTTGGCACAAGTTCGTGCTACTTTGCTTTGCTTCTTAGAAGACGAGGACTTTGACTCCCACAGCCTCGGCATTATCCCTCGGGCGCTGCAGGCTGGAAAGTTTCGCTCAGGGCACGAGGCGTCCTGGATTCAATGCAGGAATTGGTGGATTATGCCGAAAACACCGATGGCCTGGTGCAGCTGCGGGCTTCGTATGTCGAAGCCTCAGAACCTGTCAATAGTTGGACCGATGCTATCTGCTCTCTTGCTTCGGTCCCTGGCGCGCCAGGTAGAAATCTACAATGAGAACGTCCTTGACATTTGAGCCGCAGATTAGAACCCTTTTGAACGCTTAGTTGAGCGATCTTTGCAAGATTCAAAGCACGTAGATATCATGTTCCTGCCAGCATCTGCCAATCTGTCTGGTTCGAAGGACCTGCTTTCACCGCTGGGTGGTGTCACCCCGGGTGACATGCCGTCGACTGCAGTGATGCGTCGGAGAACCCAGCCTTCGCTTAGCTGAGTAGTTGCCCAACAAAAAGATCCGAGACGTCTACAATCGGCATGCGCTAGGTGAGCAGGCCAAGGATCTGTTCCTGCCCACTGTCACTGAGACGCCTTTCAATTCTGTGCGAGAGGCACGCTCCTGACCAGATCGTTCTGGAGCTTGACAGATCTCCTGACCCTGTGCAGGCCATGGAAGTCATGCGTCTGGGGAATAGGAAGCGACACCAGGCGCATTGACCAGCATCAAGCGATCGCATCGAAATTTGCCTCACTACATCAGAGCGGCAGGGGTTTCCACGAAGTTGCAACCGCCTCATTTTGCCGGACTCTGCCGAAATCTGTCCGCTTCTGGTGGCAGGCCGAGACGAAGATGAACCGACACTCCTCGCGAAGCCATGCGGTCTTCATAGTCACCGTTGTGAATCGAGCCACTCCTTTGAATCGTGCAGCAAGGGGTAAGTCATTCAGTCATGGTCTCCAAGAGCCTGACAGCTCAGGTAGATCAATCACGGCAGAAGTTTGGCCAACTCTATCTGGCCACTCGGCAAGAAGTTCTTCGGAGCCTCAAGACTCAGGCCCGAGTCTCTGTCGCCAAGGTTGACCTTGCGGGCTCCGAGCGCGTCATCAAGACCGCCGTCGCAGGGACGCATCTGGTGGAGGCGCGACAGCCGGGGCAGGGCGGCAGGGCGGCAGGGCGGCAGGGCAGCCCAAGTAGGCACCAAGTCGCCTTGAAAAAGAAGCACTGCAAGCTGCTTCAAGCTGAAGCTTCTGGCTTCTGCAGGCTAAGAACATCAACAAGAGCCTCCTAGCGCTGGGTCAAGTGATTTTTGCTTTGGCTCACAAGCAAAAGCATGTTCCGCCGGGGCCTCTGTCAGACTTCGCTGCCTTCGGCTGTTGAGCCACTGCACCTACATGGAATCTCAAGATGCCATATGCTAGGACTCACCACTGACATCACTGGATGCTCCAGAGGTATCGAGACTCCAAGCTCACGCAGCTATTGCGGAACTGCCTGGGAGGAAATGCTCGGACCGCAGAGTCTCGGCTTGTTTTGGGGGAGGCCCTGCGGTTCGTCGTAAGTCGTGGGACCTTTTGCTGCAGGTGTTGATCACCGTCTCTCCTCACAGAGACAACGCTGGGGAGTCCCTCAGCTCTCTTCGCTTCGGCGCGCGTGCCTCTCTGGTGGAGAACGCTGCGACTGAGAACGTGGCCGAAAACGCCTGGAGCCCCTGCGTGGAGCGAAACTCAAAATTTTCGTGGATGAGTCGCGTCGAGTCGAGGTTCATGAGCTGAAGCGCCTGCTGGAGCACGCTCGCCAGGTTCCAGCGCCCAGACGGCACAGGTTTCGTGACGGAGTCTTGCATTCCGCTGCTCAGGACCTGGCAGAGCTCCGAGCCTCGAATCGGCGTCTGCAGGCACTAAGAAAAGTGAAAGATTGCGGGAACCTGCAGCTTTTTTGGCGCAGGCCGAGCTTTCTGTCAGATCAGCACCACTAGGCCAGGCCTGGATTCCGGATGTTGCTTGATTGGTGCCCAGCTTCTGGGCAGCAGAGTAGCGTGCAATGCGAGTCCATGCGAGGCGGTCACGGCGGTCTTACTGTGCCGCCTTCCCAAAAATGCCTCGCGGTATGGGAACTCCTTCCGTCACTGGTTTGTCCGCTCACCCGTGGCATCATGAGGCAGGACAGAGGGGAGCATGCTTTGAAGGGAGGGAGAGATACTGGGCAGACTCGGCAGGGAACCCGTCTTGGCCTCCGATGGCTGGAGCTACGAGCGCCGCGCCTTGGAGAAGCACATCGCCAGAGCTGGAAGGATCATGCCGGTCTCGCCTGCGTCGGCCTCGGACAGCATTCGGGACTTCATTCACGTTGGACCGTTGGAGCTTGTGGATACGACTTTGCGTACACGCCTGCCCGAAAGATTTTTCGATTAGAGAACATGAGCTTGCCGCACTGGCGTGCGAACTTGCTGCATGAGAACGTCCCAAGGTAACAGGCCAGCGGCTGTCAACGCGGCTTTTCACACCGAATCTGCTTGCAACTGGGCCGCCTTTCACTATTTTCGGATTTGAAAAGTGCGCATGAAGGTCGCCAATGACGGATGATGAACGGCTGAGAACGCATCACAGCTTGTGATTGGCCCTTGCAGTCTGCAAGTTCACGTTCGTCTTATCCGAACTTATGCACTTCACGTATTAGCACGATGTCAGGGTGTTCGAGCATGCCCGAAAACATGGCGCGAGATCCATCATTGGATTTTGTCACCAGCCCCGGATCCTCAAAAGACTGACTCGAGCCCTCTATGCAGAAAGCATCTGGGATCTCTGAGTTGTGGCATCAACGTGCGCCAAGGTGAGGCAGCTCGTGCGCGCGGTGCCCAGTTCCAGGTGAGTTTCAGAGGCTTGCTACCAGTACTGTAGCTGCAACATCATTGCTGAGCCCTGTTGTGCACTTGAGTTCTGGAGGGATCCCAGGATAGAAAAGTGATCGAACGCACGCCACTCTGCACAAGCAACATGCTGACAAGATTACCTGGCGCTGCTCATTGCTGGTCTTGTCTCAGGTCAGTATCTTCCGGACCTCGGGCCTCTGGAGGAGCCGCTACCGGTGATCCAACGGCTCCACATTTGGCACGCACTTCGGCATAACACAGATAGGAACCGAGGATTCTTGTTTCCGAAAGTGCCATGACGGCAGCTCAGGTGCAGCTGATCCTCTCCTTCCTGGACTTCCGATCACTGGCGCGTTGCGAGGCCGCTTGGCCTTCTTTCCGGGCCATGGCAGAGGACAAGGCGGGAATTGCTTTGAATCCCGGGTTTCAATACTCATGTACTCATAGTCATAGTCATCGCAGTAGGCGGCAGCAGCAGTAGCAATGCCTGCAGTTTATACGCATAGGTGTGCGAGTAGTCGTAATGAGAGCAGCTGCAACGAACAGCACTTGACGAAGATCAATCTGGAATCGGACATACGGTGATCGCTTCCTAAAGAAGGGGATTTGCAGAGCGGAAAGTTGGAACCCGACGAAGGTTTGGGGGCAGCTTCTTCAGCGGGACTACCCCGACTGTGATGTGGAGCTTCTCGCAGCGCGAAGTACCTATCGTGACTTTGACTGCAGAGGTTTGCTGCAGCGCATGAGATGCCCCTTCGCTGATACGTGAGATGCTCCGCACGTCGGACACCCAGGCGAGGAGGCCGTGAAGGCGGCTGCCCACAAGCCGGCTGCAGGAGCCCTCGAATTTGCCGTGCTTAGTCGCCAGAAAAGCCGCTTTAGCTTTAATTTACAGCCAGCAAGATGCAAGTGCAGGAGGCCCGAAGGACAAAGCAGATGGAGGCCATCGCAGGAGACTAGCACTAGAATCTAGAACAGTTCAGATTGATAAACGACCCAACAAGTGCAGAGCTATTCTGGAAGTCCGATGACTACCTATCTGACCAACGACCGACTTCAGCCAGCAGATTAAAATGCATGCGAATCGAGCCTAGGACGCTAAAAGTGCATACGTATCTCAATAAGTATATAATTAGATTGGTGTGCTGATGTCGTATAATATGACACTTCCTTTGCACTCGTATGATCATTTGACTATATAGATATATGTAGCCTACATAGCTGCGCCTATAGTTCCAAAGTCCCAGAAGCACAGCGTGACAGGACATGGGTCTATGTGCATGTGTAAAGATTCATCAATTGATCCAGCCGTCCATTCATCCATTCATCCATCCATCCATCCATGCATCCATCCATCGGCCAATTGAATCTTTTGATCCATCGATCCTTCGATCTATCTATGGATCTACCCATTCACCTGGCTCAGCCAGCATGTGAATACGCACATGTCGCATAAAAGTGCAAGGATAGTGTAGTGTAGTTTTTTGTAGTATATTGTAGTATATTGTCGTATATTATAGTACATGATGAATTTCGTGCCTATACCGTCCGGCCCTCCAGCCTGTAGCCTTTCGCTCAGCTCGTCGTGGGCTTCGCCTTTTTCAGCCGGGAAGTTCACTTTGAGGCTGGGAGCGGCCGGTGAGTGTGTTTGAGACTTCGGAGACTTTGAACATACCGTAAGTATAATGAGGATAAGTGGTGTACAGTATATAGATTTTACTAAACTTGTATAACCAAGCTTGACAGCAGAAAGAAAGAGCGAACGAAAGAAGAAACGCATATATACATATATATATATATATATATATGTATATATATAAATATGTATACACTACAGTATGTGTATACATATCTATTATATGCATGCATGTATATGTATATATATATACATACATCGGTAGAGAGACGGCAAGATAGAGCGAGACAGATACATACATAGGTAGTTTGGTAGGGATAGACAGGCAGACAGATCTACAGGTGGACAGAGATAGACAGATAGACGGACAGATAGATAGAATGGAAATATGCGTAGATAGAGAGGTTGCTAGATGGATTGGTAGATAGCTAGAGATAGATAGACGGGTCTACAGAAAGATAGATGAACTATACATAGGTAGATCGTTTTAGGTTGGTAGATAGAGCGGCGTTTTTCTCCCAACCAGTCCCGTGCAGATGGCTGTTGGCTGCTCCTGGTCTCGCCGACCCAGTTCTGCCTGAACTGCTTTGCTACGCAACGAGTGTACAGATTGCCCTTCTACGGCGTTCAGCAGCGTGGCATCTTTGTACACGGTTATACGGCTCGATGGCACAACAGCGAGTTGTGTCGCAGCCTGCATCCACTAGCCCGGCAAGTTTAATTAGTTTAGCCAGTCCAAGAGGCTTCTCAGCTCAACGACATCAGAACTAACAGCCTCCATCCCGTTCGAATGTACAAATCTCGAGGCAAGTGGCTCAGGATTGAGAAGTCACGGGGCTGGCAGTGGAGATTCCCAAGGAAGCTCTGGTCGTAGGTAGGATCAGAGCTGGACATTGCCGCCCAGCTCTGGAAGAGCAACTGCTCCAACAGCCGAGCATTGCATGAATGCATCCACTGCAGTGTCAGCGCACTTACAGGAATGCCTGCAGGGCCTGCAGGTTCACAGGCAGAGGATGCAGTCTGCCTTCTGACCGGCTCCCCCGTTTGTGCAGACCCCGAGGGACCAGTCCTGTTGGCTTCAAAGACAAAAGGCGCAAGGAAAGCCGCGTGTTCACAACCTGAAGTCCGGAGTGCAAGAGATCACAAGCGATGATCAAATACAGCGAAGTACACCGATCAGCCGTAGCCGTCGCTTCGATCGCTTGGGGCGAAGGCCTTGGCTTGGCAAATCTTGTCGGGGCTGCTGCAGGTCTGCAGATACTCCTATGGATTGGTAGCCTTCTAAGTGGCCCTCGTAGCGTTCTTACGACCCCCTTTGCTTCCGCTGCATGGGAGGGCACAGTGTGCCGAAATCTCGATCCAAAGCGTTGGCATTTCCCAACGCACTCAGCTTGTACGCACACACGCATACACGCATGCTGCTCTCAACCTCCTTTGATCAACTTGAGCTTGAGATGATTGCGTGCAGGCGTCTTTGTTGTAGCTTCTAATGCTTTGCTCTGCCAGCGTTTTGGCCGTCGAGCTTTGAACCTCTTCGTGGCCAAAATAGAGGTCCAGGCAAAAGCATTGTGGCCAGTAGCACGCGCCAAGCACTGAGAAGGCCAAGGCATCGCTGCTCTCGAAATGTTGTGGAAACCTTGCAGCCTGCAGCGCTTAAGCCCTAACCGTCGACATCTCTTGTGGCCATGGCGCAAGTCCGTGACAAGCTGGCGGAGCCGTGGAAAGGCTCGGTCCTACTTGCAAGTTGGAAATGGGATTGAACCTGCGCTTGAAGCTTGGCTGAGCAGGCGTGAACCTGGGTGGCTGGCTTCTCCTGGAGCCTGGTCCATCCTACCCACTCTTCACACAGCATCCTTTGAGGGACAAGAGTGAGGTGCGCTTTTGCTGAGATCCTGTCACAAACACTGGGAGTACTGTCTTGTGTCCTCTGCAAGCGCCTGGTAACATGAGCAGTACCCTTCACTGCATACGACAGCTCAGCTGGTCGGAGAGTTCCGCAACAGGCACGGTGCGAATGGGACATCATGAAGGCCCCATGTTTTTGCAACCAGCGTGGATTGTGTGATGTCAGCAGATAGTTTCATGTGTCAATAGTGTTGCAGGGCTTGATTGCCAAGATGGGCAAAACCGGAGCAGCCGAAGTGTTGCGATCTCACCGGGAGACTCACATGACGAAGGCAAACTTGCACAGCAGCCGGCACTCTGTAGGATATGCAATTTGGCTGGACTTTCTTCCCGGGTCGGTTTCCGGCGCCAGGCAGACTTTCAGCGGATGCGAAGCTGTGGTCTCAATGCCGTGCGCCTGCCCTTCGGCTACTGGGTGGTCACGGAACCCAGGCGAGGCGCCCAAGTTGAGCGAAAAAAACTTCAGTTCCGCCTCTCTGCGGCCTCTCTGCGCGAGTTTCGAGTGTGAGGCCCAAGGAGCCTTACGTCGGTCCGGCCTTGGAGTACATCGACCGGGCGGTCTCTTGGGCCGAGGAGTGGCGGACTTCGTTGAAGGGCCGTCAGATGCCTTGATGAGCAGGAGTTTGATCTTCAGATCGTGCTTGATTTGCACGGATGTCCTGGTGGTGAGAGTCCGGAGGCGGGGAAGACAAGGCGAGTTTCGTTTTCTTCCCATCTTCGCTCTTAGCCACACACAGGCTCCCTGCGGCCGGCGCCAGCGGCCTGAGAGCCGATGGAACTGGAAGCAGTGGGACTTCCAGGCCCACAGAATTTTCCCACCACCGCAGCTCAGCCAACTGACATCGCTTGCAGGCCTCACTCAAGGTGCTGCAGGCGGGTTCGCCAGACTGCGTTTGTCATTGTGGGCTGCTGGAGACTTCCTCTGCAGATCCTGGCACGGCGTTATGCCCAGCACTCCTGCGTCACGGGCATCGCGGTTTGCAACGAACCATCGGGGGAAGTTCCGGCCAAAGCCCTTATCTCGTTTCTTGGACTTGCAACCTCAAGATGTTAGCCTTTCCGCCGAAGGGAGTCCTTCTGGCCCCGGAACCGGAAGGTATTACTCGAAGGCTGTGGACGTCATACGCAAGGCCGGGCCTCACTCGCGTGCCGAAACCGCACGGAAGTCACCAAGATAAGATGCCCCGGTCGCTCTGGGAAGCCTGTCAGGCGGGAATGGACGCACAGAGGGTTGCGGTGGTCTTGCCCGTGTTCCAGCGCCCGGAAGGCCCCGATTCTCGTGCGTGTCCTGGTACTCGGGTTTGTAGTTGCTTGGGGTAGGCAGGAAGGAACACTTACCCTCACTCCCACATCCCCTTCCAGGTGCCTCATAAGAGGCCCATGACAGTGGGGGTTTAATCCGGATCAGGTGTTTCGGCAGGCCTTACCCCACTCCCGTCTTGCAAGGACATGGGCTCCGCTGTTCTTTGTCCAGGAGGGTCTGTTCGGGCTGGATCTTTTCAGGTAACTATGCGCGGTGGTTGCTAAGATAGTTTTTCGTTGCTCCGAGGGTCAGCAGGCTGCTTTGTGCAGGGTTTCCGCGTGGAAGCATCAGCACAACAAACCGCTTTCCGGCCTGGATGCGTCGCAACGGCTCAATGGTTTGTTTGATCGGCTTTCCGGGAAGTGTTTGTCCGATCGGCACTGAATCGGCACATGTGGCCTCAAGTTGAGCACTTCGAAGACATGTTTGGTCGGGTCATTGTTGAAAGGCAAACACCAAAGGGCCCTTCAACATCTGTAAAGCGCTGCAAAGGAAGTTGTGTTTTTTTTGGGAAGACTTCCCGCAATAATCCGTGCCCGTCTGCTTGTGAAGGTGAGGAGGACTTCATCAAAAAGTGGTCCAAGTCCACGAAAGGACGACATCGCAACGTGTGCTTCGATGTGCACTGCTACCATTGTGGCTCGGCTGTCACGACAACTCTTTCTGTACGAACGGCAGCCTTACACTCCAAGGTTTCGAGAACCAGTTCCATGGGAAGACTTTTGCGGAGCAGCTACGAGCCGTGGAGGCACGTAATCTCGGATGCAAAGAGGGGCGGGCCCCCCTCGGCTGTGGGAGTTTTTCCGCTTCGGAGGCCAATACCGAGATGTTCAAGCAGCATCCCATGGTTGCAGGCCGGGCCGGCCGAAAGCCCGAAAGCCGTCGGATTCTGAAAGCTGCGAGGGGAGTGGTCCCTGGGTCTCGGCCAAGCCACCTGGTGCACCTGCGGCGATTTGGATGAGGCCGGGCTGGATGGCTCGGGGTCGGCTTCGGTACTATTTCGTGCTTCGCTGGTTCGGGCTTGTCGACAGTTGAGTGGCCCGGTCGTCTCAATGTTGGCACAAGTCCGATGTCGGCCGTTGCCAAAAAGTAAGAAGTTCACGTCATGAATAGAAACTCAGAGAGTAATCAATGTGCTGGCTGAACATGCCGGCAAGCTAGGGACAACCAAATGGCACAGTCGATGAACAGCGAATTGCTGTGACAGCATTCGCTAACACCCAGCAATGTCGAAATGCGGCGAACATGATCGAATGTGTCGATTGTTCTGAGTTTTTGGAGTGTATGTAAGCAGCACCGAAATCGTGGGCTGCTCGCTGCTGTAGTGAAGGCAAGCAGTGCAAACAAATAACATCGTGACAGCATTGTGTTGAAAGTCTCGAAATGCAAACAAGTTCCGTACGTCCACCGCTGACGACTAGGTTCACGGATTTCTGCGGTTTTAAATTGATCGTAGTTAGGTTTCACGCAGTTTCGTTGATGCGAGCCTGCATGGCAAAGCGGTAGGCATGGCAATTTGAGGTGTGGTTGTTCTAGACCACGGTTCCAAATAAAATCAGAAACGAGGAACTTTTAAGTGCACGCCCCTGTTTGGACCCATCCTCAAGTGATGGGTCGAACTTCCGCAGTGGCTCAGCAAATGGTGATCAGTTTTGACTTCGGCCATGTTCTCTTTGCCCAGTGCCGGATGTGCACTGATGACTGCTCAGCAGAGCAGCACCCGTCGTCTGATGAACTTTTCACTCGAACCCATGTCCAGTGCCACTCTAGTTGTCATACGCTGATTAGCTCCGCCTTGGCAAAGAGGACACCGTTCTGAGCATCTTCGGTGCCCAGCAGCAGGAGGCCTTCAAGCCCCTTGGAGTGCAACGCTTCAGCTCGGGTGTATAATCTAATATAATCACAATGCAAAGTCAACATGATTCGGAGGATTCGGGTGGGTGTTGGACCCGCGCAAGACCCCCCGGAAATCTTGGATCTTGGATCCGGGCCCGAATCAGAATGATTCGGGATTGATTGGGAGGGAACCTGCCAAAGACCTGAAGGAAGAAAGTTGCGATCTACAGGCACTCACCCGATCCCCCTCTCCCACGCCGTCCTGAAGCTGAGATGTAGGAGAAAGGCTTGGGGACAAGGGAAGAACAAGGAGCCACGCCTTCCGAAAGCGTAGATTTAGAAGAGAGGCGTGGGTATATGGGGGTACCATATATATATATATATATATATATATGCTACCCCCCCCCCAGATACCAATAGAATTGTGTGTTTTGTGCTCTAAACCCTGCAAGTCATGACACCAAGACACTCGAAGGTCTCAGATACTTCTAGTGCACGACCAGAAGGTGATTTTGTTCATCCCCTAGATCCCGCAATTCAAGACGCATGCATCCAGGAGGCGCTTAATACAGGGCCAGGCAAGCCTGACTACATTGATGCCATACACATACAGGATGCTTCAGCACATGATAGGTAGTAACGGTTTAATGGCACCCTCTGTATTACTTAGACGTGCCTCTAATCTATCACCCATCCTTCCTTATCACACGCTAATAATAGTACAACCCTAACACCAACAACTACCACTACCACTCCTCCTCGTGCTGCTGCTGCTATTACTGCTACTACCACATTACTACATGTTTAGTTAGGTCTATGTGTTTCAGCGTCATTCCACATCTTGCCCCAAATATATCCAGGCGACCTTTTCCTCCACCATGTCTTCTCACCATATTGCTCCTAAATTTCGTATCATGATATTAAGTTAAATCCTGTCACATATCCAACTATTATCAAGGTGGTCATAACAAACCATCACAAGAACCGTACTACGACTACAATCTACTACTGATGCTACTACTACTACTACTACTACTACTACTGCTGCTGCTGCTGCTGCTACTAACTACTACTACTACTGCTACTACTACTACTACTACTATCACTACTATCACTACTACTACAACTGCTACTACTACTACTACCACTACTAGTCAATCCATAGTATTAAACACGATTACACTGGACCTTTATCCTGTTATACTACTACCGCCATACCCTTATGCTAATCATCATATTCCTGCCACAATGCCTTAAGCAAGCTTTTCCATCCTATCATAAATCAAAAAGCTACCCATATTTATGGGTTTAGATGTAATTAAGGACACAGTATTAACATATCATTCACTTACATCAGTCTATCTCATTTACCTAACACACGTAAACAGTGCTCACTGAAGTAATCAAATATCACACTCATCACCCTAAACATAAAACGTCAGTGAGACTGGCAACCAGAAACAAAACACACCCTTCTACCATCTCCAACAAACACTTACAAAAATAAGGGTACATTAACTAATCATAGTGAACCCCAGAAAGTTGGAACATTGATTTAGGGTGATTAGTGTTTGATTTACTTTGCCTTTAGTATAAGGGCATTAGGATACTGATGTTTCAACTTTCTGGAGTTCACTGTAGAATAATTTACAATGAAACCAGATCTCAAGTTGACGGCAAAACAAAAATCTGCTGTAAGTCAAAGCTAACAGAGCGCGAGAAGAAAATCTGCAGTGCGTTTTGCGCGGGCGCCGCGCGCGTGACGGAAACCTTCCAAAAGATCGTTTGATTGAGACAGTACAGTGGTTTCGTTAAATTTATTGTAAAAGTGCTGTACTGTCCCAAAAAAATCAATCCTTTTTTGCAAAAGTGTTGTACTGTCCCAAAAAAACCAAAAAACCAATCTTCTACAGTCTTGGAGCAGCTGCCGTGTAGGGGCCTCCAATAGATTGGCTTTTTTGGGACAGTACAGCACTTTTGCAAAAAAGGATTGGTTTTTTTGGGACAGTACAGTGTTTTTTTGTTGCTTTTCTTGCAAAAGTGCTGTACTGTCCCAAAAAAACCAATCCTTTTTTGCAAAAGTGCTGTACTGTCCCAAAAAAAACCAATCTATTGGAGGCCCCTACACGGCAGCTGCTCCAAGACTGTAGAAGATTGTTTTTTTGGGTTTTTTTGGGACAGTACAACACTTTTGCAAAAAAGGATTGATTTTTTTGGGACAGTACAGCACTTTTGCAAGAAAAGCAACAAAAAAACACTGTACTGTCCCAAAAAAACCAATCCTTTTTTGCAAAAGTGCTGTACTGTCCCAAAAAAGCCAATCTATTGGAGGCCGCTACACGGCAGCTGCTCCAAGACTGTAGAAGATTGTTTTTTTTGGTTTTTTTGGGACAGTACAGCACTTTTGCAAAAAAATATTGGTTTTTTTGGGACAGTACAGCGCTTTTTCTAGTTTGCGGAGAAGTGTGATGCAGAGCGAGTACTCAAGTGCTGAGCATCCTGCTGCTATACTCAAAGTGGTGCAAGCGCCCTCTAAGGCCACAAAACGTTCATGGAGAGTCTTGTCACAAGTCTCAGCCAAGAGGGTGCTCGAATGCTCTGTTTTTGTCTCATGGTGCTGCCTGCAGAAGGAAAACACAAGAATGTATTGGTAACTGGGGGGGGGGTACCATATATATATATATATATATATATATGTATATATATATATATATATATCTATATCTATATCTATATCTATATCTATATCTATATCTATATCTATATCTATATCTATATCTATATCTATATCTATATCTATATCTATATCTATATCTGTATATATATATATGGACACACCCCCCCCATGACCTACCTCGGCCTCTTTTCCATTGTAAATACCGTCAAAACCTTCTCTTGCGTGGGATTCGCGTTTGGCATACGATTCGTGTTTTGCATAATTTTTGGGGATGATACCTTCTCTATCATGGCTGATGTGAAGTCATGTCTCTTTACAACGTCGTGCCTACTCATGTCCGCTTTCATATTCATATGCCTGTATTCATAAGCAAGAAACATTAAAAGAGACCATACGATACGACGGCGGAAACCAAAAAACCAAAAATCCAAAAATCCAAAGCCTTTCTGAGGGGCCCGAAACTTTTGGATTTTTTGGTTTTCCTAGGTCTTTTTTGGTTTTTTGGGTTTTGCCTTGGCGAAACCATTCTTTTTTTTGGATTTTCGGTGGAAAACCAAAAAAACTTAAGGTTTTTTGGTTTTTCTGCTGTGTCTCCGGTGAAAAACAAAAAAACACCAGTGTTTTTTGGATTTCTGCTGGAAAACAAAAAAAACATTGGGTCTTTTTGGTTTTCTGTTGGAAAACAAAAAAAAACCCTAGGAAAACCAAAAAATCCAAAAGTTTCGACCCACTGACAAAGGTTTTGTTTTTTTGGATTTTTGTTTTTTTGGTGTTTCGGCGGAAACCAAAAAACAAAAAATACAAAAATCCAAAGCCTTTCTGAGGGGCCCGAAACTTTTGGATTTTTTGGTTTTCCTAGGTCTTTTTTTGTTTTTTGGGTTTTGCCTTGGCGAAACCATGGCTTTTTTTTGATTTTCGGTGGAAAAACAAAAAAAACTCAAGGTTTTTTTGGTTTTTTCTGCTGTGTCTCTGGTGCAAAACCAAAAAACACCTGTGTTTTTTGGATTTCTGCTGGAAAACAAAAAAAACATTGGATTTTTTTGGTTTTCTGTTGGAAAACCAAAAAAACCTTAGGAAAACCAAAAAATCCACAAGTTTCGGCCCCCTCACAAAGGTTTTGGATTTTTGTTTTTTTGGATTTTTGGTTCTCGGAGCCTTAGAGCCAACACAGCGCGCAGCATGCTTGATCGGAGATGGTTTCGTTGTTTACGCGCAGTAGTCTTCATATTTGCATTAGGCATTAGTGTTGGTATTAGTATCTGCTTTCTAGCGTGTTGATTAGTGTTACTGTTAGTGTTGGTGTCAGTGTCAATGTCAATGCCAATGTCAGCGTTAGTACTAGTCTGAATATAAGTCTATACAATAGGTGTACTAATGGTAGTGTTAATGTCTAGCGTGAGTTTTAGTATTCGTATTAGTGTTGGTCTTAGCCTCTGCATTATTCTTAGCGTTAATATTAACCCGTGTATAGTCTCATATCAGTATATTCTGTATTTGTAAGTCTATGGTAACATTGGAATAGTAGTATACGAGTATATTATTTATTGGTATGTGAAAATACAGATTTTTTGGTACATTGATGTGTCTGTTTTTTTGCATTTGGTTTGAACGTGATTATTAGTATTCGTAGGAGCATCAATATTGGTATCAATAGCATTATCGCTGTTCATACTATGCATAACCGTATTAGCTGGAGTATCAAATGGTAATACTGCTATTCATGTTAGTATAGGTTTTTCAATATGAATATAAATACTGAGAATAATTAATCAGACTATGCGCATTAATGTCCGGAGGAACTGTATCACTTATGTGCATATTAGTATTAATGTTAGCATTTGCGTGTATATTGGTATCAAATAAATACTAAAATTATTATCAATATGGGTATTTTTTTGATATTCGTAGGAACACTAGTATTCATATTAGTATCGGTATTACTGAGAGTATTAGTATTCGTAAAAATATTTGTAATCATAGTAATTCATATCAGTACGAGTATTAAGATGAGTTCTGATGCGCATATGAATACTTTCGAAGGAAAGCTGACCTTAATAATGGTAATGAATACTATTACGAAAACATAGTAATTCTGGTATTGATACGAATACCCATATTAATGTCCTATTATGTATAATCGAGGTAGCCTGAGTATTGGTATGCATTTTCGGACAAAAATTAGTATTCCAAACAACTAGTACTATTAATATTCATATTGAGAACAGTTAATAAGAATATGCGTATTAGTATCCCCAGGAGTGTCAATATTCCCATCAGCACTACTATTCGTATTAGTAGTGTTATTTTTAATACTAGTATTAACCATTAAGCCTATTATGTTGTGAACAGTAATATCCTTATTCGTAGGAGTAGAAATCTTAGTATCAGTATTAGTATTCGCACTAGTAATAGCTATTATACACATTGGCGCATGAGTAATCTAAGAGCTTCACACAGAATAAACCTGTGTGCACATGTAACCCTCATTACGATCCTAGGTAGGATGCACACATCGTTCTGTCTTGGTCCCGTCTTTGGGTTATGCTATGAGTACATGAACAAAATTATAAACAGACAATGACAAACACAAAGTTATCCGGCGCATCTAACGATCTTACGTAGGATGCAGACACTGTTCTGTCTTGGTCCTGTCTTCGGGTTATGCCTATGGTCATTGTATGACCAGAATTATGAATATCCGGATCATTTAGGCAGTATCCTATTAAACAATTGCAGGCATTGAAGCCTGCCCAAATCCGCCAACGGCGATGTCGCGCCGTCGTAGGTCATTACAGTGTATTCAGCTATTAATTATACACGATATATGTTTCTATTGTCTCTGTATGAGCGTATTCTATCCTAATGGTTTCCTCAAATCCTTACATGTTCTACCACCCATTGCTAGCACCTCGCGGTAGGTCTTCGGGGGGGGGTGTGAGCATATATATATATATATATATATATATATATATATCATATATATATATATATATATATATTTACATATATATATATATATATATATCAATATATATACATATATATATATACACAAGTATATGCGTATATCTATATCTATATATGTATGTAGATACCGCCTTCTGGAAATGGGCTGAGCGAGGGCTTTTTCAGTTCATCTCGGCCTCCGAGATCCTGGGACTGAAATGCTGAGGAGCGCCTCTCACGGCTCCTTCTTCTGGAACTGGAAGGAGGATCCTGAGAACAAGGCGCGGGAGGGAGGGCAATTCAAGAGGCCCTTCCTTAACCCTTCATTAATCGAAGATGTCCTGGGATGTATAGGTTGAGAGCATTTGAGAGCCAACTATACTGTATCCCAATGAGCGCCCATGTTGTGCAGGAGTGGCACTTCCAGCACTCCTGCGACTCCGGGCTTCTTTCCCGGCCTCCCTTGTCGCTTCCCCCTTGGGATCGCCAGGGTGAGGACCCATTGGAGGACATGGACCTAAAACTGGCAACTGTTAGGCTTCCTGGATTCAATATTGGCCAGGAGCTGCTCCATCCCTCCCCGGAAGACCCTGTCGTCTACTATGGCTCCTGGGCAGGAACTGGAACTGTTGCTGCGGTGCTTGACGGGCCGCTAGGTAGCTTCTGCTTCATGCAATGTTGCAGCCCCCCTCAGGTGACACCGTCTACCTTCGTGTGTTCCATGGTCGGTACATCGAGGTACAAGGAAAGACTGCCAGACACCCAGACGCCCGTTTCTTCTCCCTTTCCCCATCCTTTCTGGACGGCTTTGACTTTGTACGCGCAGAAACCTTGTGCACAGAAAACATCGCACGGTCCTCTCAGGTTGATTGCAATTGGCCAGACAAAGGAATCTGGCAGGCTGTTGCGGCCAACCTCTTCGAAGTGATGTCTCGTCATCCTCGTAAGACATCAAGAGTCGGTCTCTTGATGGGCGTAACGCTGTGCTTGACACCGCAGCTGCGAAGTCGGAGTACCGAAACCCACAGTCTCGAAGGGCGTGGCATAGGCTAAAGCTCTTCGCAGTGGCAAAGGGGCAAAACACGCTGCCCGACAAAAACTCGGCGGCAGGCCTTCTCCTTCTGCGCATCTGATGGGGATGCTGCAAAGGACCGAACGCACGGAGCCACAAGCCAGAGAACGTGTTCTTGGGCCCTTCGCAAGGAGAAGGGCAGCAGGCCAGGCTTGGGCCGAATCCACTCGGTGGGCCGATCACAGTCTGACAGTTTGCAGCATAATAGTAGATTGAACAGGCGTCCCGTGCGACATCGTGACATGCTGCGGATCCGCGCTCACAGCGGAAGCTTCCTGGCCGTACCCAGTGCCTCAGATGCATTGGCCATCTTTGGTTTTCTGCTCTGTGAGGGTTTGGACCTGCCTTACCCCGCCTTACCTACTTGAAGTAGTTCTTTCTATTTCTTTCTGCTGCAGTGGATGTAAGATTGTTCGGCATCTTGCACGAGGCAACGCTGCCACCGGCGCATCTGTGTGAGTCCTAGCGGTCCTAGCATTCTCACAGAAATTTCGCAGTGCTGGACCCTGCTGGATTCGAACTCACGCCCTACTGCGGAGGTGACGACTACGCGCAGCAAATCCTGCGCAGAAGCCGAGTTCGAGGCCGGGAAGGAGCAACATCCCCCCCCTTGAGTTGCGCTGAACGTGAGTGTAACTCCCGAGGTGTTTCTCCAGCACACCAGCGTCTTAAAGCATCGCGGGCTGGCGCTCGGAGCCAAGAACTTGCAGAGTATGGCCTCTAGACTCCTCTAGACTCCTGAAGCATCGGGTACATGCTGGGTACATGGTTGTAGACAAGAAATTGAGGAGCCACGCTTCTAGCTGTTACTTTGCTTGGCCTCCGTGGCTTAAACTCAGATACTTCTTCAGCCGGGCGACTGCCACCACTCTCGACGCAGACGAGGACGAGTCGGGCATCCGCGCTCGCTGGGCGGATTTCGGAGATTGGCAGGCGGAAGTGGGAGGTGAACAGGTCTGGAGCTGCGGAGATGTCCCATGCGGCTCCAGGCGATTGCAGTTGAGCGACCTCCAGAGATGCAGCGCCATGTGGCCTTGGGAAGTCTGACGAAAGAACCGCCGCGTCAAAGACAGCGAGGCACCGGAGCACCGGAGGAGGGCGAGGCGCACGCTGGCCGCACGGCCCATAGCTGCACAGGCCGACGTGGATCAAAGGACAGCCAGCTTCTCAGATGTATGCATCCTTTCGCCGGGCTGTTTGGAGCAAGTGCTAATCTGCATCCGAGCGGCCCCGGCCAGGTCCAGTCAAGGCAGCAGTGGAACGTCCGTCGCCTGGCGGAGCAGTAAAGCGCAAAGCTCTTGAATTGGAGAGCGGCTCAGCGTAGCACAGCTGTGCACGGCCGCAGCACGCAGAGCTCATCAGCCCCAAGTCCCTCAGTGAAGCTCAGTACAGTCTTGATGTGATGCTCCGACCCGAAGTTATAGCCAAGAGGTTTCCCGCATGCGCTCAGAGCTGGACTCTTAGGGCTTCGAAGTGGATGGGCTGGTCCATGCGTTTAGGGCGCCCGAGGAGCCTGACATGCTCATGGGGCACTCGATGGACCAGCCCTCTTGTAGTTAGTGAATGGATCATGACAAAGATTGCATGACTTACCAGGGCTTGCTCTGGAAGCGAACTTTGCTCCAGATGTTTGCTCCTATGTCTTCGACATCCTCAATCCTGGTTGGTTTGTTGCGTGTAGACTTGAGAGAGCGGCTTCTAGTACAGCTATGGCCATCTGTTTCGGTGCCTGTTTTTGCTTCGGCTGCTTGGTGACTCTCTGGAGGCTGCCTTTGAAAACCTCTTCCAGTGTTACGCTTCCTGTCTCACAGAGCTTGCCAATGTAGATGTAAAATTGCAGAAATGCTGGCAGCAATGTGAGGCCTGCTACTGCCTGCTGCAAGCAGGGGGAAACTGTTTGCTGCACGGGTTTGTCTCCGCTTGCACCGGCTTTCAAGGAAGGGGCTGTTCAATCGCAAGGGGCTGATCTGATCATCAAGGAGCTGACGTGGTGTGTTGCCCTTTGCGTACAGTCAGTCTTCCAACACCTGCAAGCGGGCGGGTTCACATCTAGGATCTGCGACCTCTGCAAGTCCGGATGTTGGATGCTGGAGGATGTTCGAAGCAGGAGCGCCTCCATGCAAAAGAGGTGTGCAGACTGAGTGCCTGGGCTACCGTCTTTCCGACCAAAGTCTTTGCCTAGACGAGCTGGAATCCATACACCTGACTTTCTCGGCAGTTTTGCTCAAGGGACGTTGGGGGGGAGTAACAGACCAGTTTGTTGACAAGCCGTGTCCCCAGCTTTATCAGCTGCGGAGGGTGTTGTGTTTTGGCAGGAGCAGGTCTGCGCAACACCTGTCACATCATGCTGAGTCTGCCCAGCTGTGCAGGATGCTGCCTGCAGTCACCAGACTTGTCGCTGGTGTGGCGCCACGCGCCTCCGGACACCCCCGGAATGCTTTTTGTGATGCACTGCTATCCGTCAAAAAGCTTTGCTCACGGCAAGCTTCAGTGAAGGAGGTGTTCTGAGAGCTCAAGCACTGCGGCCCTTGCTTCTTTCGAAGCACAGGCCGCAAACGCTTCCTGCCAAGATGTCTTGAAGCTCTGACTTTAGTGCATACTAGGTGCTTCTCCATGCCCAGCATGGCCAAAGTGGCCCTTGCCTGAGACATTCTGAGACGAAGAACCGTTGACAGCGGGCGTCTTTCCTTGGCATTGTGGGGGGCTCGAGCTTGAGCTCGCCAAACGGGACACGGGGGTGGGCCCAGGGCGCTAAGCTACATCTCGCCTTGCTCTACCTGAGACCAAAGACTTGCAAGCCGAGATCAGTCATGAGCAGGTTCCGGCACATGTTGCTTGTAGCCAACAAAAACTGGTGTCACCCCAGCCACATCAAAGTTTTACCAGCCCGGCGCAGACCGCCAGGAACAGTATCAGCAGGCGAAGGCTGGTCCAGCTGCTTGCACCGTGGTAGAACGGTCTCCTTGAGTGCTTGGACCTGTGTAGAGGAGATTCAGAAGTTTCTGAAGAGCACGGACTTTAAGCTTGTTGAGACCGAGGCTGGGTTTTATTGAGTTCGAGTGTGGAGCCGCGCATTGTCGGTTCACGCCGTGTGCATGCAATCAAAGTTATCCTGCTGATACCCTCGCTTGGACTGCCTCCACACCTATGTCTGGCTCTCTCCGTAGCTTCTTCCTCTTTCACTTTCCCACGTGAGCGACGTGACTGGACTGGTCAGGGCGATGTCAACATGCAGCTGGAGCGGACTGTCGGCGACAAGCAGGCCCCCGGTTTTATCCTTCCGGTTGGCGTTGATGTGGGATCCACGGTGGCTTTTGGTATGGGCTGCTGGCGCGGGCAAGCCACAGCTGAAAGGAGGTCGATACGTTCATGGTAGGTAAGAAGTCCTTCTACTCCCACAACCCCTGAGGATGGGGGGACCCCTTTTTCCAACCCCCGATGTCTTTTTTTCAAAGCCTCTTGTAGAACCCGGCCTGACGGTAGACTCAGTTGCGTCATCATGCTTCGCTACTCAGTGAATCCCAGCTTCGTCGTAGTTCGCAGATGTTCGCAGTATAAGAAGCATATCTGCAGAGACAAGACCACTGGTGACTGTCTCAAATGACCCCTCTAGATTCGGCCAACTCGATCCGTCGCGGCAAGCCAAGGTGACAATCGAGTGGCAGCTTACAAGCCCCTTCGATCCCACTGCGGATGTGGAAGGTGGGGACCAGGATGCTGGTGCAGAGTATGCGTCAGCCTCAGCCTCCGCAAGCTCTCGGCATGAATACAACAGAGCATGTAACCGTGTAATGGTCAGAGGGGTCCTTGCCTATTTTGGGGCTACTGGCACCACTAGCCCCACACCATATTACAATCCTTATTTCAACTCTAGAATATAATCTTAGGAAATTCCAAAATCCCTATCCAGGTGCCATAGCCTAAACTAGGCAAGGGGTTCCTTGTAGAATTTGGTTCAGGATTTAGGGTTAATTGTTAAAGCAATACTGTCATTATAATATATTACTGCTTATGTATTTTAATCACGTTTTAACTATGCAGTTTGAGGACACTGTCTATTGAGAATTTTGAACGATCATCTCATCTAAGAACCTTGATGTTGCTTGTAAATATTCACGATGCATATATATTATTATTGTCTCTTTCTATATCATATTGTAAATATGGTTCTATTTGCATTAAAATCATTAAAATATCATATACTCTTTGATAATAATGAAAATAACCACATAAAGCATCGTTGAAATATTTTTCTTCTCCTGATGCCATTTATAGAAGTCAAATGTATCTAGGTTCTCATACATTGGTTTGATTTGAATACGCAGCTCAAGTGTATAACCTTTCTTTTGAACATCATCTCGCATTATTTAATGAACTTCATCATAGTCTGGAAATTTTAACTTAGTAAAGGGTAATATATAATCATCAAATAAGTTCGTGTATCTCGTTATAAAACAGCTATGTTTCATCACTTTCAATTTCATATTCACTCTCACTTTCATATTCACTCTGACTCTCATTTTCGCTGTTGCTGTCATTCATTCCCACAATAATATATATTTATATTTATATATATATATATATACACATAAGTTGGTATGCCTTTAAGTCATATTCCTCAGAAGTATTATTTTCTTAAGATTCTTCCTGGATCGTGGTTTACTTTGACAGACGTGGCTAAACATTCAGAACAAGTGCAATGTATTTAACCTGATAGGAGCCACGAACCCGAATGCAGTTGCGCGCCCGATACCCGCACTGAAAAGGGAAACAGTGCTAGTGGCCTTTATGGCCAGGACTACTACTACTGCTGCATGCCATGCATAAGCTGAGGTGCGCAATGTCTCTGTCCGTCACTGTGAGCACGGCTCCGGCACACTCGCGGACGCTTGCGAACGCTGACGGACGCTGGCGCACGCTTGCGACCGCTTGCGGGTGCTCTGCAGAGATTTCGCCGCGGAACGACGCGACCTGTGGGCTTGACGGAGGAGTTCCCCCTTAGCTTTTCTGATTCAACCGCCATATAAGATTTCGGCTTGCCTGATTCGAACGCGCGGGACGCGCGTCCGTTGGAGTTCCCCCTTAGCAGCGCGATCAGACACACGCGGACGCTAGCACCGCCTGGAAGATTTCGCTTCCCCCAGGCGACCTGCGGCGTTCCCCCTTCTAGCTTGCCTGATTCGAACGCCGGCGGGTGCGGCGGGTGCGGCGGGTGCGGCGGGCGGCGACACGGCACGCCGGCGGCGGGTGGCGGCGGGGCGGCGGGCGGGTGGCGGGCGGCGGCGGGCGGCCTGATTCGACCGCGGTGGAAGATTGCGTTTCCTGGAGTTCCCCCTTAGCTTGCCCGATTCGACGGTGACGGCGGTGGCTTGCCGGATTCGACCGCGGTGGAAGATTGCGTTTCCCCCGCGCGGACCGCGGTGGCAGATTGCGTTGCCCCTTTGCGCGATTCGACGGCGGCCATGGCGGTGGCGAGCGGCGGGCGGCGTTGGCGGCGGGCGGTGTTGGCGGCGACCTGTGAAAAGTTCCCCCTTATTAGCTTGCCTGATTCGAACGCCGTGAGGATCTCCTTAGTTGGCGCCCTGATTCGGAGTTCCCCCTTGGCGCTTGCCTGATTCGAACGCCGTGGGGCCGCCGTGGAAGACTCCTTAGTTTGCGCCCTCATTCGGAGTTCCCCAATGGCTTGCGAATTCGAATTGTGGAGTTCCCCCTTGTAGCTTGCCTGATTCGAACGCCGTGGACGCGCGTTCTGTTACTGTTCCCCCTTAACAGCCCCCTTAGCTTGCCTGATTCGCGCATCCTTTGGAGTTCCCCCTTAGCTTGCGCCCTGATTCGGAGTTCCCCCTTAGCTTGCGGATTCCAATTGTGAAGTTCCCCTTAGCTTGCCTGCTTCGAACGCGCTTCCCCCACGCGGAGTTGTGAAGTTCCCCCTTATCTTATGTTTTTGAATGCCTCCGACGGAAGCAGGTCAACCAACTGGCATCCATACAAAAAGCGATGCAAACAGTCTCACCATTTTTTTGAACACTGGCTGCCGTGACAGTCGTCACGGTGCTCTCACGTGTGTTGGCCTTGTTCCGGAGCTGTGACATGTCGAGAATGCTGTTAGCTTTGGCTGCGCCGTTCGACCTATTACGGCCGTAGGCGTGGGTGGATGTTGTTTTTTGTTTCGACTGTGAACCAACGATTCATGCTTTCCATTGTCTAATGAGTGGCATTGCATTTTGCTCGGGCAGTGGCTCTACCCTTAACCCCAAACCCTGAACCAAATTCTACAAGGAACCCCTTGCCTAGTTTAGGCTATGGCACCTGGATAGGGATGTTGGAATATTCCTAGTCCTAAGATTGTATTCTAGAGTTGAGATGAGGATTGTGATATGGTGTGGGGCTAGTGGTGCAAGGCCCCCTCTGAGTGTAATTGCACTTATAATGATGCATGGAGCTGAAGTCTGGCCCGTACTATGGCAGACTCCTTGGGAGAGCCACGCCGCACCTTGAAGGCCATTGGGCAAGGGCTCTAAGCTCAAAGCGATGACCTGATCAGGAAGCTACCGACTTCTGTATCACCCTGGAGAGCAAGTCCAGTGGCTTTGCTCAAAATGCATGCTGCATGCAGGTTGTTCCAGATGCTTTGGCGGGTGATATGACATTGATGCCATTGCATCGCAGGGCCACATGCAGAACGCATACAGAATCGGAGCGCCACAGAAGCCTTTATAAATTCGAAACATAACCAGAGGACCATAAGACAGGAAGAACCAGAAAGGCCTTTTGTTGCGAAAGGTGGTGCGGGCGTGTCCTTCTACTGCAGCACACAGACCGGCGAGGATCATCGCTATGCTCGTGCCTGTGAATCTCACGTTCTGTACTGACAATGATCATCGCAGGTTTTGAATATGTTCGAGGGATTGGCCCTGCAACAACCTAAGGTCATCGGCAACGTGAAATCCTTCGCAAGCAAGGAGGTCAGAGCTTGTCTCCCATTCAAGCGCCGGGTCTGGCTCAACAAACTGCCGTGAAACTCCAGTCTTGGAAGGAGAAAGAGAGCATGAGCGCCTACAACGGCTACCTGGCCAAACTTTGATGTGCCGAGAAAGGCCGATGATTGTGCAATGCTGAGGCCCTGAGTTCGAAGACATAGATGAGAAGCTGCAGGACAGCTTCCATAGCAGTTGTGTTTTGCGGAGTCCTCAAGAGATTGCCGTCAAGCTTTCAAAACTCGGAGGGGGGGTCGGATGCACAAAGAATGCAGCATGCAGCATAATGTTGTTTTTGAGTCTAGAGGTCTCTTCCCACTGACCGCTTCACGTGCCTTTGTTAGGAGAGCTTGGACGAGCTGCTGGCCGAGGCAACTTTGAGTTCCGGCAAGGGTGGTGGAACATCAAGCAAGACTTGAATGAGACTTCCCCTGCATTAACTGAGGCAGGCATCAGCACAGAGCTGTGCGACTTCATTGATGCCATGGCGCTGGATAAGGCCTGTTGCGCAATAGGTCCTGCCTGCAGCAGCCCTCTTGCTGTGATGATGCTCTGAACCGCAGTTTCTGCACGACGGCACGTATGTCCAATGCAGGAACAGCGAGAATACATCCGAGACTTACTTGCATCCAAGACAAATTTGGGGTGGGTCGGTTCTTGAATCCATTGGGAATGAAACGATGAAAGGATGGTTTGCTGTGCTGGGCTGTTCACCAGGATGGCCCGCACAAGGATCAACAGGATGAGGGAGAGAAATGGCAACAGTGTGCTGCTGCCAGAGTCTCATTAGGTATGCAATGCACTTGGAGCATCGGACACTGTCGGCGTAGCTTTCCTGTTTTCGAGACGCCACAGCAACTGTAAGTATGACAATATGAGACGGAGGATGTAGGACTGGATGAGAATGCAACAGTCAGTACCAGTGCAGCAGTGCATGATTGTCACAACTCAGGATGGCTCAGCAACCTGTGGCTCGGCAGCTGGAAAAGAGAGCTGGCTTACGACTTACGGCTTGCTGGTAGTTTCTCGCGCTCAGGAAGGAGTTCATGGAGAAGTGAGGGCATCGACAAGAAAGTGCCAGAGACTTCGCCTTGACTCGAATCACCGTACATTCCCGCAATAAACGGCCCCTCCTCCGAAAGGTGAGCCTGCTTTGCTGCACCGAGAAGTCTACAACTCACCTCCTTGACAGGACATGCTGCGCCCGCCCCATCTTTCCCGACTTGGAGTGTGACTTGTTTGTCACAGTTGAAGCCAATGCAGCTGACTGTCCAGAAACCAAAAACCTCCCAAGAGCCGAGATCAAAGTAGCACGGTAGCACGCTGTTGCTCATTCAGACAAGTTGGCCTGCATGGTGGTTGCAGTTGGCGCGCCCGCCAATTTTGAACTCCAGATGCAACGGAGAAATCTTGAGCAATATAGAACATCAGACACATGGGTTGGAATGTCCCGAGGTGTGGAAGGAATCAGGAATGCAGACAAGCTTGAGTGTCCTATCACTGCCGCCACCTTCTCTTTGTCCGAGCTTGACCTGTCGGGTCGCAGCATCGCACCAGCAGCATTTCACAGACAAGACCACCAACCCACCCTGACTTAACTTGATCAAAATCGCGACGAGAGTCTACAGCAGCAAAGCCGGAGTACACTCTCTCGAGCCCTCGAGCTTGATCCGACAGGCAGGATACAGGGCTTCCCGGAAGAACCTGTCCGAGCTGCCGTACAGGCCGAAGAACGCCATGGACGGCAACGATGCCATGAAGCTCCTCGTGCCCACCGCGGCCTTTGCTGTCGGAGCTCCTCGGCCCGTGAGCCCAAGGAGCCCAAGCACAAAGCTGTGGCGCCTTCTTCTCCCAGTCCTGCTGTACCCAGGTCGGACTCTTGTTGTATTTCTGGCCAAGGCGAGTGCCAGCAGCCTCACGCGGTCTGACGCTAGTGACCGCTAGTGTTGCAGTGATTCGTTGAGGCCACCGAAGGTCTTCCTGACGCGGGAGCGGAAGAGAGTGCAGGCCGGATCACCGGAGCACTGGGGAGACTTGCGACATCCTGCAACTTAAGTTTTGCGTAAATTCCTGAGCAGCTTGCATGCGTATTGATCGGGAAGGACCTAATCGAAGGACGGTGTTGGGGGGGGTGTCAAGATGCCTGGAGCTCAACTAGCGCTAGTGGAGGTGTCTGATGTTGTGGAGCTGTCCCATGACACAAAACGAATCCGGCTCTCCTTCGGAAGCAAGAAGATGATTCTTGGCCGGAGCCACAGGTAGAAGAGTTCCAGCTGCCTGGTGTCTCCGACCATGCTAAGGCTTGCCTGTGGGCAAACACATCGTCATCTATGCCCCTAATCCCCCGAGTGCCATCTCGTCGAAGAGTTGGAACGGGAAGTCAGCTCCAAAGTGGAAGGGCCTGGAAGAGTATATGGTCCTGGTGCATGTCACATGTCAGTATCTAAGCGTTTCGCGCTTCTTCCTAGCGAGGCCGGACTCAGACAAAGGAAAGCCTGAGATTGACAGGAAGTGACCGGACCTACTATTGCCTGTGTCCGACCCCAGCAGCTGCAATTTTCGCGTCTGGCAAGTCAGCCTGCAGGTACACACCAGTCACCGGAAACGAAGCGCCGGGCTACGTTGATCTCGTAGCTTCCGACTCAGCAATGCGAAGCATCCTCAGTTCCACGGTACTTTCGTTGCACCTTCCTCAGTTCCTGTGGAAGCTGTTAGAGACACGACTCATGAAAGTAGCCTGCTGGTTCCGAAGCACTGCTATATTGCGGATCAAAGTGCAGAAAGCATTGTTTGTGGCGACGCGCACACCAGAGTTTGCTAGGGCCTGTTAGGGCAGGGCATCTAAAGAATCTCAATTGGGTTGGATGGGCTCGCTTCAACAGGGACCGGGTTGGATGCCAAAGATGTTCTGCACCTTCTTGTTTCCTGCTTTTGCTCTCGGACCCAAGTGAGGGATGTTGGGCAAGTGGAGCACAAGTGGCTGGAAAGGAGAGGACACGTAGGCGTAACCGAAAGATGCAAGGAGATATGACGTGAATTGCACAACGTCGTGCGATTGCAGAGGTCAAAATCTACAGACCTGGCACGGTCAAAATGCCGGATGGCAAGGAGATGAACTGGGAAGACGGTGCGGTGACCCATTGAAATTGAGTGGTTGGCATAGCTCCGTGGCAATCAGTCTGTCTCTCTGCAACCAACCGAACCAAATGCCTGTGACCCTTTAGCGGCTTTAGCGTTCTTCAGGTGGAAAGATGGGCCTCTACCTCGACAGCAATCTCGCCACTTTTGAAAACGATCTTCTTCGGACTTCAGCTGCTTCGATGCCGTGACTGCCTGACCTATGCCAGGCAAGAAGCCTGGGGATTGGATTGAGATTGCAGGCGCCGTGTCTTTCTGCCTATACTGGAAGTCCTTCAGTGTCTTCGCCTCCGGTGACATTGCATGACAGGGCCGCTTGGTGTCAACGAGTACCTGGGCCGGGGAACTTTCAAACTTCCGGGTAAGACTGCGCTTGCCTCGGCTTTAGGCAGTAGCGGTCGTCGTTCGCACTTGAACTGCGAGCTTGTCAGCTTGTCCGTCTTCGCAGGTAACCGTCAAACACATTGGGATGTTGGCAGGAGGAACTGGGCTGACTCCCATGCTCCAGGCAAAGATGGTTTGTGTCTGTCTACATTGAGAGGTTCCAACTGAGCATCACCGCTGAGTGGTGACTTGCAGCGCGACAGCTGAAGGGCTCGAGGAGCAAAGGATGCAATAATTAGCATGAGCATGAGCCGGATGCAGCCTCACAGCCGAAAATCGTTCAGAGCTGCACATTAGTCACATGCAAGAAATGTGGAAGTGACGGCGGCGACGAATCGTCACGACACGAAATCGGACATCTAGAATGTCCATGTCAGGCCCACAACAGGAAGGTGGAGCTGACTTCGAGGAGATCGAAGCAGGGTGCAACCTACAATCGATGAGGGTGAGTACAAGATGAAAGACTGAGCTTCCCTCAACATCGCTTCAGTATCCTGGGGAAAGCTGGAAATGAACCACGAAATCGAAGCAGATAATGTCCAGACTGTGAACGAACGAGCTAGAATTGAACCAGCTGCTTGGCTAACGCATGACCGCAGAACACAGGAAGCAGTTAGTGCCGCCAAGCAGATACCGTTCATCGGGTTGTCTGAATCTAATCCTGGAGCCACGAAGACAAACAATTGACAACCTCAACTTTTCGACAAGCCCCCTCCTGCAGCTGACTGGTCAAAATCGAATCTTTGGATCCCTTTGTTCTGCTCTCCCCTTCGAGTGCAAGATGTGTCGCGATGTGCCTCGAGCAACTCCCCAAGATGGGACGGATTCGATCTGAAAAGGTTTCAGCGCCACACAGAAGTCTGTCTCGGGTGTGAAAACATTGTCTAGAGTCTAAGCACTGCTCGGATCCGGAGAGCCTTCGCTGATGTTGAAGTCATGCGCCGCGCGTCCAGCATGTCAGACCGCATCCGTGCTGCTGCCCGAATGCCCGAATGAAATGTTGTCCGAAAGCTTCTTCTGCACGTTCGATGTCTCTCATGCCTTTCCAATATAATGAGCTCTTGTGGGTTCATGCTGCAAGGGACTTAGGGAATTTAGGGAGTTGCCACTTTCCTTGCAGTCTGACACTTCAAGTCTTCGACTCTGGTGCACATTCCAATCGAGCTGCGAGCATCGTCACGTTCAAGTTGACATTTTCCACCCCGTTCAGCGCGATGCACAAGTAGCATGAGATCAGCGAGGACAACCCCATGAAAGCAGCAAGCAGGTGGTGCAAGCCGCGCTTCGAGATGCTAGTGACGCTTGCAACTTTTATTTGTGGCCCAGCTGCAGTCACGGAGCGTTGTGCATGCGGATGGAGGGCCCTAAGCCCATATCTCAAGAACCCATCATCTGAACTGGCAGGATTTACGCGAACAAGACTGAGAATGATATCTTGTGCTGTCCACTGAGCAGTAGTGCTGCGCTGTCGGTTCGTGTCTCCTGCTGAACGGAAACCTGAAACTCGAAAGCGGCCGCTTGCTTGTCATGTCTCGCATCAAGGCCGTGACATGCTCGACGACCTCGCCAGGAATAGCAAAGGCGACTTGTTCTCACTCTCTTGATTGTAATGCCAATGGGTACTACTATCAGCATCGAGTGGTGTCGAAGCGGTCTCTCAGGTCGGTTTAAACTGTACTACACTCTGGATTTTCCGCCAGAGAACTGGGCGCACAAGACCGGCTTCATCACCGCTGACATGCCGCGCCTGCAGTGTTTTCTTGCAGCCGTCGAGCAAACGATGTTGATGAGCTTGTTGCCGCCGTCATAAAGCTCTAGATGCAGCATCAGCAGCAGCAGCAGCAGCAGCAGTAGCAGTAGCAGCGGCAGTGGCAGTGGCAGGGGCAGTGGCAGTGGCAGTGACAGTAGCAGTAGCAGCAGCAGCAAAATTAACAGCAGAACAGAAGTAATTTTCAGTAGTGGTGGTAGTAGTAGTAGTGGTGGTTGTGGTGGTGTTGGTTGCGGGGTGTTGGTAGTGGTAGCGGTGGAAGTAGTAGTAGTAGTAGTAGTAGTAGTAGTAGTAGCAGTAGTAGTAGTAGTAGTAGTAGTAGCAGTAGCAGTAACAGTAGCAGTAGCAGTAGTAGTAGTAGTAGTAGTAGTAGTAGTAGTAGTAGTAGTAGTAGTAGTAGTCTTCGCGGACTATATGGATGACTACCTCTACCTCACGCTCTCGGCGCTACGGCTGTACTGTGAGGAGGCTCAAGTGTCCCTGCCGCCTGCAGCGGGAACATGGCCCTCCAACGACATTACGGCATGGGCACACCAAGCTCTTCCTCTCCCGCAGTGGCAGCGCTTCGAGCAGTATCTCGACTCTATGACCACCATGGCCGTTTCTGATGCGGAAGAGGGCTGTTCGGTCGATCCAATTCCACACGGTGGCTTGCCGCACATGGTGTCCAAGGCGGAGCGGATCGCAAGCAACTGCATCACCTCTCGCTGTTTATCCGTCTGGTCCTCAGTCCGTCAAGTTCTACAACATTTACCCTTCGAGACCCACGACAGATGGGAGCGCCCTCCCCAGGAGGTCAACTCTCCAGGTGGCCAGCGTTTTCGAGTCGGAGCGTACAATCGCGTTCTTCCAGGCTTGCTTAAGGAGACCGTTTCCCATCCCAATGTCACTCAATTGCTCAATGCCTTCGTCTACTCCTGCCATCCAGAGCATCAATGGACCTCGCTTGAAGTCCTGGTAGATGTACTCTCTCCTCCGCATAAGGATGTTCGCAATGCTGCCTGTGTCACACTGCTCATTCCAATTTCTCTATGCGATCAGGGAGGCATATGGATCGAAGACCCTGACGGATGCGACTACCAGGAGATTCCGAACCAGCAGGGGATGATCCGGGGAAGCTGCTTTGACCTCCGCGGCCTCAGCATCTCATTCAGGGCGGACGCACTGTGGCACGCCACTCTACCATGGGCAACCTTTAACCGAGTTGTTCTGGTGGCCTACACGGTCAAAGGAACTTCTCGTTTCTCCGCAACGCTGCAACAGCGCCTGCGTGAGCTAGGTTTTCGTCCTCCATTGGTGAACTTGGAAGACTAGTCCGTAAGCATGGCACAGCCTCCTGAGCTGAGACACAGTCTCTGATAGCCTCTGCTCACAACTTGGTGTCATAATGACAGAATGCCAGAAAGCGTAGTGCGAGCCTGCACAGCCGTGGAATCGTGAACACTGCATCTCTTCAGGACCTCTTGGCTCTAACAATTGTCAGTCTTTGACTTCTGAGCACTCCGCTGGGTTCATGGAGGATGAGATTGTTCAACGGATCTATCTCTACCTGACGCCGATGTTCCTCAGCCTCGACTTTTACTTGCCACTGACAGACCTGGACAGGGAGGCCCTAGCGGAACTGAGCGTCCAATCAAGATCCCTGACACTGGGCATCACCGCCAGGGACAGTATGGCAGCGGCCCATGCGGAGCTACAGAAAACGCTCCAGGAGTGCTTCGAGCACTGGCCAACCCTGTCTATTACTACTCTTCCTCCCTCGACAGATCCCGATATGCAGGAAATGCACTTTGTCTACGAAGTGCTGCAGCCGCGCCTCATTCAGGTCAGACGACTCGCCACTGTCAACCGCACCTGGCATGACCTAATGACCAGCATCATTATCTGGACAAGCCCGCATCAATACGGTTGAACTTCTGGTGGCCATGTCGCGTCTGCGGAAGTCTGGCTCTGTGTCTGTTCGCGAGGGAAAGGACACCTTCATTCTCCCCTTCTCCATGGCCTTCCACTTGCCGGTGGAGATCCTTTCCTCTCCCCTGGTTCGCACCACTCCTGCGGCCGTCTATCGCCCTTCGGACTTCAATGCCTGGCATGCGCACCTCTTTGACATCTACGACGCCCTGCAGACTGAGGATGCGCACCAGGACTGATCAGCGTTTGCAGCCTACAGTGTAGCTATCAGAAGCGCACAGCGCCCTAACTCTGACAAAAGCGCACAGCCCACGGTCGCGTAGAAGGACAGCAGGGAGTGTGACTGAGGAAAAAGCCATTTGACAGTGGACTGTCTGTCTCAGCTACATCTGTTATTATGTCAGTTGGCTTTCAGAGCAATGCTAACTTTCATAGACGGGTTCTCCCTGCGCCATGCTCTCATACATCTTCTACCGGGGGTACTCATCCTTGATTTCTACGACGCCTCCGCCAACCCCAACCTCTACTGGAATGACCTCGATCTGCTGTATGACGAAGCTCGGGAGGCTCGATCGCGGTTACAAGAGTTTCTTCTCCGTTGGGCAAGAGCAAGCCTCTTCTCGCAGTACTCCGTCATTGGCAACACTATCAAGCTTGATCATAATGGAGTACACGCTCAGCCCGGGATTGTAAATCCGAATCTTCTGCTAGCCATTCGGCTTGCGGCGGTCTGCCGGGCGTGGTGCACCGAAATTGCTCGTCTTCTAGAAGGCAAGCCCTGGATTGGGGTGTGGCGGGCATACGTCCACCTTCGCAAGATAGGCACAGGAGTCTTCATTGAAGTTCGGCCTGATCAAGTCGGCATCCTTTCGCGTGAGGCCCTGAGCATTCACTATGATCAGGCTGACTTTATTCCGACTTTTGTTCTGCGGAGTCCACTCTAGGCAAGATGGCACAGCCTCCTTCCCCATGGTCACAGACCATGTGAAGTACCTGCGTCGCATCCAAAATGCGCATAGGACCGAAAGTGCCAGCTAACTATTGGCGAATTCTCTTGCAGTCTCTTTGGGTTAGCAGTTCAGCTAGAGCCTACCCAGATGACTGCAGTACTTTGCACCGAATCATGTCGCCGCGCCCTCTCCTTTATCCTTCCCGGCGCTGTCATCGTGGACTTCTACTCAGCGGCTGGACTAGACAGGGAGATGCTGGAGATTGACCCCACCACACACGCGCCGTCCAGCACTTTGCTCCCCATCCTCCAGCTCAGGGACGAGATCCAAGCGCAAGCTGGCCTCTGGGCCCACAGCCGTCCCTACGACGGCGTTGCAATTTTCGAACAAAGATACATAGACGTAGACTACGACCGGCAAGGAGCTCATGTCAGGCTCGCGATATTACATCCCGACTTACTGATGGCCATGTCCATGGCGACCGTCAGCAGAGCTTGGTACCGTGCCGTACTCCCCCTGGTCCAGTACAAACCCTTTGTCAACAGCTGGCGCACGGCCAGGGCAGCAATGACTCTTGAAATACAAGCCATGGTACAGTCCTTTGACACACCCCAGCGGTTCCTCGCAACTGAGGAGATCATCATCCATATCCAGCATCGCCATCATGTCGTGGTACAGACGATTCTCAACCCCCTCGGCCCCTTCGGGTATGCTGATGCAGCAGGCAGGGACGACGAAGTTCCCTGGGCTCATTCTGCCCACAACTACGGCTATCTCCCCTGAGATTGCTCGCGGCCGATGGCTAAAGTCATGTATCTCAAGTTAGGAATATGGCACAGCCTCCTTTCAGGTGTGGCACAGCCACTCGTCCCGCTTTTGCACCAACAGTGTAAGGCTACCCGCCTGCCAGGAGAAAATTTGAAGCACCTGACTGCAAGCCTGCTGGCAAGCTACAGCTGCACTGGCTGCTCCAAATCAGTTTCCTTTTGCATCCTAAGGTCCATGGCGACACGTCACGGCACTGCATCGCTTGCTCGAGTGCCCTCTGCTGTTGTTGCTTGTTTGTTAGACAGGCAGTGAAGCCCCTTGCTTGCCAGCTAGTCATGTGTCATCAGCAATGCTGTATCTGCACACCGCAGCTGTCAGAAGCAACTGCTTGCACCCGTCGGCATAAACTCTTGAATTTCCTCTCTAGGATCACTTCTTCATCAGACATGACAGTTTGCAGAAGGAGTAAGACGTGTTCCTGAACAGAATCGGTAACTTCAGCAGAGAGCACAGCTCACCTTCGCGTGTCACAGACTCTGGCCCAGCAGCTCTCCAGCTGCGACCATGGACGCCCCTCCTAGTTTGGGGCCGTTTCTGGTGCTTAGCGGCAGCACCTTGCAGCACATGCTACGGTGACACATATGGAGTATTCCCCCTGCTGACGGGACAGGTCTTAAGTTGTCCAGGCGCCGCCCTCAACATCTCGGCAAGCAGCGTCCCCTCCATCATGGAACTACTTCACTGGCAATTTGGGCTCTTTGGGCCACTCCGTTTCAAAGCAGCGGTCCAGAGTCAGGAGGTGGCCTCCATTTGGAGCACCACCTCAACGGGCAAATCAACGTACGCTTCATTCCCTTGTCTCGAAGCTTGCGCCCTGAGAAGCAAGTCAAATATGATTACCTGATAGACGGTACTTGGCAGGGCGTGTGGGTTAGTATGCACTTACATACTTTATTAAGTAGATACAGAAGTTACAGCATATAGGTAACTACAACATAGCATGTCTTATAAGTCCACATATCGTAACTGAGTTATCGGACCTAGCTAAGTGCACATAGAAGATGTAGATAACAACATTTCCATAGAATGAATGCAACATTCGAAGTGCACATAAACACCGTCGTGCAGGGCAACATTGCTCGCAGGCAGGTGCAAAATCATGTTTTTCTAGGTGCTCCATCAAGGCACAACCCTGACTCTGCCAGGGCCTTCGGGCACATACAGGCATGCAGACTGAATGCCCGATGAGGCCACGAAACGAGCCCCCTCCGCATTCTGCTGGTACATGTTTCGACCAAGGCCAGCAAACGGCTGCAGCAAAGTGACAAGGTCGCCGGAGCCGA